ATTTCAGGTGGGAAGAAGATAGAGTTTAGAGCATAGCTTCCCTGAACAGTCAAGAACACACCTCAGCTTTAAAATGACTTCTCATCTGAATATTTCAGGAGCCTCCTAGGATTTGAACTGCATAGTTGGTTACATGGGATACAGTTGCCTTAACCACCAGGCCATGGAGCCAGCCCAAATATTATACTTTAAGTGGCTTTATTGTACAGTATAGGAAGTACAGTTCATAAAGTTTTTATTTTATAATAAAAGAGATCATTTATAAAATTGTTAAATTCTCCAGGTGAAAGATTATAGGGGCTCTAAATTAATGTGTTAGAAGTAAGGATAAGGGGCTGTTCCATAGCTCAGTGGAATGTCCTGCTCAGCAAAAGCCAAGTTCCACATCATGACCATGGTTCAAATAACTGACACAGCCTGAAATATGACAGGCATGTATGCAAGTACACAAAATTCAATGGGCTGGACGAGTGGAGGGGGGACATTGCTATATGACCAGACTCTGTGGGGAGTGCTCCTCTTGTTGCTCTCACTATATACCCCTCATCATGAATTAAAGATCCTAGAATGCACAAGGCTTGTGGCTGACAGAATATGGAGGTGAGGAAAGAGTTAGCTACCTTCCTTGTTCTAAGCCTAAGAAGTCAAAGAGCTAGAAGTGTCTTCTGGGATCAGCAGTTAGCTTAATGGCTATGTCACTGGACTCCCACGTAGTGGACCACAGTTCGAATCCCAGACCTGTGACTTAAACTAACGCTGGGTGCATGTGCGTGTACCCTAGATTCCAAGAGGAGAATGGAAAAGGGATTGTGGCGTGGCCATCCCCCCCCGGGGGGGGGGTGATTTCTCGCTTTTTGTCTCTCCGTCTCTGTCTTTCTGGTGAGCATACATGCCCCGTAGCAGAAAACCTCTTCAAAAAAAAAAAAAAGAATGCGTCATCTTCTGATAAAATCTGATGTGTGAGTAAGTGTAGGATCCAAAAGGGATAAAGGAAGTTTTTTCTTTTCCTTTCTTTTTATAGGAGAGAGTAAATATAGTCACCTAGTACAACAGATTATGCAGTCTAATGTCCTATATTTTTGTTGTTGTTTGTTTTGCTATAGGATGCATTGACTCACCAGAGATGGGAGAGAGCAAGTGAGAAATCACTTCCCGGGGGGGATGACCACACTGCAATCCCTTCTCTTTTATTCTCTTGGAATTTGGGGTACACATGCCCATGTGCCAGTCTCTGCACCACCTGCCGAGCCCTCCCACCTTTTAAAGATATGTCCAATTTGAGATACCTTTGTGACAGCCAAGGTGGATATCCAGGTCTTGCTGAAGTGTGTCAACATGAGTCACAGATGTAAACAAAATTGTTTGGAATATACGTGAATAGAGGAAGATAGAAAACCAGGGAAGCTTAATGTCACAAGTCCAGTTTCTGAATGGTTGGTAGTGTAAAATACATGTATGAACAAACAACTTAAAACATTTTAAGAGGTTTTTGTCATAGAGTACGTGAGAAAGAGAGATGGAGACAGTGAGAGGGAAAGTGAGAAATCACCTCTCGGGGAGGGGGATGGCCATCCCACAATCCTTTCTCCTCTTATTACCCTCCTGGGATTTTGGGCACACACACACACACACACACATGCACCTAACATGAGTTTCAAGTCACTGGGTTTGGGACTTGAACCGTAGTCAGTCATGTGGGAGTCCAGTGATATAAATGCTATGCAATCTGCTGGTTCCACTTTTAAGTATTTTTAAAAATACTGAACTTGGGGTCAGCTGGTGGCCCGGTGGTCAAGGCAGCTGGATCCCACATGTCTGACAGCATGGTTTGTGTCCCAGATCCAGCAACTTGATAGGCAGGGTATGTGTGTGTGTATGGCCAAAATCCCAAGAGGAGAATGGAGAAAAAGTGATTGAAGCATGACCATTCCCCATGGGGGCTTTCTCACTTTCTCTCCTCACCCCATTATCCCATGAGTATAGATGCCCTCTGGGGGGAGGGGGGGAATCTGAGTAAAACAAGTAGCATAAAAAGTATAGCCTAATTAGAAGGCAAGGTTTATGGGAAAAGCAATGCAAGGTAAGGCTGTAAATGTAATTTTTAAGTTAATTTATTCCTGGAGAGTAATGTCAGAGCACAGAGTAAGGAGGCTGCCTTGGGTTCCTGCTGTCACAGTCAATGAGTACACATTGAGCTCCACAGACACAGCACGGGAGCAAGTGACAGCCAGGCACTGGGTGACTGTGCCCTGTGGAGGGATGATAACTAAACATGGGCAAGAGTCTAAGAAAATGAGAGGCAAAAATGTCATGATATGCATTCTTTGTGCAAACTTGCCAGGAAGAGCACAGACATAACCAGATGCTTCAGTCAACTTCTCAGATGTTTTAGTTCTCAGAGTGGTGGAGGACTTCTAAAGAGATCTGCTAAAGAGAAAGGAAAATTCAAAGATATGGCAAAAGCAGACAAGGTCAATTATGAAAGAGAAATAAAAACCTATATCCCTCCTAGAGGAAGCAAAAAAGTTCAAGGATCCCAGCACAGCCTAGAAGCCTCCTTCAGCCTTTTTCCTATTCTGAGTATCACCCCAAAAATCAAAGAACAACCCAACCTACCCTGTGGTGGTGTTGCAAAGAAATTGGGAGAGATGTGGAGTAACACTGCTGGAGATGATAAACAGCCTTATGAAAAGAAGGCTGCTAAACTGAAGGAAAATATACAAAGATATTGCTGCATACTGAGCTAAAGGAGAGCCTGGTGCAGCAAAAAAAAAAAAAAAAAGGGAGCTGTCAAGGCTATTATCGAATCTGTCTTTAGACAGCCCTGTTTTGGTGGTATATTCAATGACTACTAACCTTGCCTGGCACAGTATGAGAGCTATAAATTGGTATGGAAATTTAAAGCAAGTTCTTGTTGGTACACAGCAGAAATTAGTTATATACAGGGATGGTCATTTTCTCATCTTCAGCTTATACAAATAATTGTTCTGTTAACTGAATACCACTCTGTAATTATAAAAACAAGTTGCAGCTGTTTTGTTGATGTTCTGAATGCTAATATAATCTCTTTTTCATTAAAAAAAGCATTCCTTTCATGAGCAGGGAACAGAGTTGAAGAGTTAGCATTCCCAACTGTCAGTCAACCTCCCCAGCATCAGTCAGCCCTGGATCATGGGCACACCCATGCCCAGAGTAAATTCTGAGGTCTCCAGACATAAGCCCAGAACCCTCAAGGGTGTCACATCTGGGGCCAGTAGATGGTATAATTGTATCACTGGACTCTCACATAGTTGACTCTGGTTCAAGACCCAGACACAGTACTTAAACCTCAAGCCAAGTGCATATGCATGTGTGCCCAATATCCTGAGAGATTGCGGTATGGCCAGCCCCCCGAGGGGTGATTTTTTGTTTTCTGTCTCTTGTCTCTCTGGTGAGTGCACTCACCCCATAGCAAAAATCTCTTAAAAAAAAAAAAGTGTTGCATTTTACCGCAAGGCTGGCCCCAAATTTTACATTTAAAGCTTAAACCAATGGTACTCAATTGAGATTGCACAAAAGAATCACCTGTAGTGCTTTGAAATATTCTGTTGTCAGGTCCACCCACCAGAGATTGTGGTTCATTTTGTTTGGATTGAGGGGACCAATAGGTGGCATGGAGGTACAGGTGGCTGGATCCCACACGCACAACTGCATGGTTTAAATTCCAGACCCAGCAGCTTGAAAATCACGTGTGCATGTGTGCCCCAAATCCTTAAGAGAATGAAAAAGGGATTGTAGTGTGTACATTCCCCATAACGGGTGACTTCTCATACCCCCACCTCTCTCTCTTTCCCTCTCTGGTGAGACATGCTCCAGCAAAAATCTTCCCCTCTCTGGTGAGACATGCTCCAGCAAAAACTAAAAATTAGCAAACAAGAACCACCACCAAATGATTCTAGTCTGCTACCAGGGTTCATAGGCACCAGCCTAAAGAAAGCCTCCGTATCTAAAAATTCTAAAGAAACCACTTGTGATGATTAGTCTTGGTGTCAACTTGACCTACTATCCTGACAAAATATTCTGCGTGTGTCCTATGGGGAAATTTTCATAAATTACCTTGCAAGGCTGTGGAAGATTTGTCCTCAAATGTGGATGGGCATGATCAATCAACAAAGGACCCAGAGAGAATAAATACAAAAGGCAAGTAGGGCAAATGCATCTTTTTTCCTGCATCTCTTTAGACATTAGGCTCATTCTAGGCTCATCCACCTTCAGACTTTAGGATTTACACCCCCAGCCCCCTGGGTTCTCTGGCTTTCAGCCTTGGGACTACCTAGTTTCCTGCCTTTGAGGCCTTTGAACATGGAAAAAGTGACACTACTAGCATCCCAAGATTTTCATCTTGCAGATGGCCTCCTGTGGGAATTCTCAGCTGCCATAATCATGTAACTGATTCTAATAAATCTCCTTTTAATTACCTATACATTTCCTACTGGTTGTCTCTCTAGAGAACCCTAATAACATCAACCTAACTAGCTAAGGTGACCCAGAAAAATTAAACTTAAAAACACAGTTAAATTATTCCTATACAAAAGAAAAACAGATACTGAATATATACAATTTATTTAATAAATTAATGTCATTCAAAATACAGTGCCAGAACATTATGGAGTTGAACATGCTAGTAATGTTTGTCATGAAGCACCTGTGCTCATATTAGATTGGCGGCGCCCCACTAATGCTAGTGGTTCCTGGGATTAATGCCAGAGCAGTGCTACTTATCTGCTCCTCTGCGGATAGTGCAGAAAATTCCTGAACAGTTCATCTTTTCAATTCTACCCCCCAATGCACACACAACAGGTTAAAAAAAACACACTCTGACAGCTAACAGATTCTATTCACAATCACTCTACAGTAATGCTCGTTATTAAATAAGAATGTAATGACCTGGTTAACCCTCTTGAAATCTTTTAGGATGGAGAACGACATCAGCAGCAGGTAGTTATACACATGAGCCAAAGTTAATGTAATACACAAAGTGGAGGTCTTTAATGATTAAAGCTCCACACAGACCCGCACAATGAGGGGCTAGCAATTCTTACTGCAAGCCCAGCAACGTTAAGTCCACCCCTGGTAAGTGACCAGCTGATCGGACAACCTGTATTCTAGACAGACAAGTATAAGTTAGTGAAAAGAAAATACATGCACCTAATAGTATAGACTGATCCTGCAGTCATAGCTTTCCCTGTGTAATACCATAAAATTATGGAAGATCTTAATTATAGTATAGGATTTAGACAACAATTCTATACCAACATAGACATTAGTGTTAAGTGCAGTTGAATTGATTACACTGAAAAAAAAATGTATTCCAGGGCTTCAGAGCAGAAGCACGGGAATTAGATACATATACTAAAATAACTTCAGCACAATTTATAATATATCACACTAGAAACAGAAAACTATTTTTATAAGTGAAGTTTTTGAGCTGTACATACACAGGGCTAACAATGTTAGATAATCCAGATTCTTATGCTTTCATGATACATAAAAGTTTCTCAATTATTGAATAATCTATTTCATATTATGGAAGCAAATCTTTCTGTAAGACTCACTGATATATATATTATAGTGATGCAAATATTAAGTAGGGCATAAAAATAAAATTTATCAAAGATAAATTTTTATGTATTCATTTTTAGTCCTTTCATAGCCTCTCTTCCTTAGCAAAAAAATGACAACGCACATAAATCTGGCATGCATTCCCAGAACTCCCCAACTATACAGGTGGTAGTGCAACCATTTCTCCATCCAGTTCAAACTCTTCTGTCCCATCTGGTGAAAAAAGGTAAGTTGGTGGTTTCCATGGAGATTCTTCAAGGCAAGATGGATAAAGTTTGCCCACAGTGCATCGAAAATCTCTCCCCAAGTCCCATAGTACACGCTCTGATATATGCTGCCGCAGAGACCACCGGTCGAGTTCCAGATCATATTGGTAAGTGACATATTTAGCTCGCTCATTTAAGTGGGTTTCTCGCATGAATACACACAGAGAATTTGAGATCACAACAGCTCTAACACATGGGTCAGAGTACCTCTTAGCAGGGATGTTGGCTGCCATTTTCCACTCATTTTTATTCACATCATAAATTTCTACAGTTACTGACGAGCCATCTACAGTGCCAGAAGGGAGTCTTATGCCAGAATTGGTAGCAATATGCAACCCTCCGATATAAAAAATTTTATCACCAAAAGCTGCAGCTGAAGCAAAGGACCTGCTAGTTTGCCTCATGGCCATTTCTACCCATGAATCGGATCTTGGAAAATAACAGTACATAAGATTCAGTGTCATCACATAAATGCAGTCATGAACCACAACTGCTGCACTCCACTGCCATGCACAAGGTAAAGGGCTTACCATTGTCCACTCATCCTTCTCAGTATCATATCTTTCTACAGTCCTCCGATTAAGCTCTCCACCTACACTATCTCCTCCAATTGCATAGATATAGCCTTCACAGCAAACCAAAGATGGCTTTATGCGGACAAAAAGCATCGGGGTCTTTGGAAACCATGCATTTTGTTGAGCATCAAACCAATAAAAGCAATTCACGGTTCTGAAGGCCGTCTGAAGTTTGCTTGTTTTACTGTGATTTGTTTTTGTGTTTTTCAGAGGAACTTGGCCCCCTGCTATGTAGATGTCATTATCAGGAGTTACAACAGTCCCAACTTTATGTAAGTCAGCTGGTGGGCTGCACAACTTGTAAACTTTTTCTGCCTGGGGGCTGTAACAAACAGAAGAGTAAAGACTACAAGGATTTTCTGAAGATGCTTCAATGAAAATCATCATCTCTTCTTTAGTCATTCCAAGTCTTGGTTTGAAAAACTTGGGCATGGACTTATACAGACCTTGAACAACCACAGACTTATCATTGGGTGGCAGACCTTGAAACCAAGCTCTCTGTGTTACTTCTGAAAGTGCATCAATTCTGATTTGGCTAAGAACTGAAGACAAATACTGGGATCGTGATTCTGTGTTATATTCCAACCATAGCATAGCAGCTTCTCGAACTGTTTCTTCCTTTTCTACATTTAAATTGTCACTACTGAGAATGTCTATCAGTAGGTCATGTGACAGCTGCATGAATGCTTCCTGGTGATACACAGCAGTGAACTTGTGCTCCACCATTCTTTTAGCACTTTGTTTTAATTCCTCACAACTGAAGAGATCAGCAAAACTCAACAATCGCACACAATTCTCTGCATTTATTTTTTTGATTAAATATTCTCGACAACGTTGTAAGACATCTTCAACCTAAAATGAGAAGGACAAACAAAAGGCTAATAAAGGCAGGATAGACTGATTTTATTTCTATCTAAGACAGGTATATTTATTCAGTTTTTATTTTCAGATACTATGTCTAGACTAAGATCTTTGTGTAGTAATAAAATTAGAAGAATAAGTATAGTTTTGCATTTCTTTTTTCTGTCCAGAGGCCTACTTAATTGTCCTAGTTAGAAACTGGTAGTATAACATTCAACAAGAACCTAAAAACTAAATACTGGCCTTAAGGAACATGTAACGACATTCACACATAACTTACTCTTTGTTAGGCTTTATAAATACATGTATGAGAGAAATATGAAAAATCATAGTATAGGGAATGATTATTATTGAGCTGGATTCTAGTTTTCTCTACTTGGACAAGATATTAATTTAAAAAACTCAGAAAATCATGCCTAGTGATTAATTTGTCATTCTTATCTAGAGATTTAAGATAAATAAAAGAAACATTAAATGCATTTATGTGCATTTACAAATTATTCATATTTAAGTGGTCCATCTTAACTACCTACTATACTTATTCAGCATCCTAGTAGTTAACTAGAAAACAGTTCACAAAGAGAGTCAGGTTGCTTAGATTCAAAACTTGGATTAGCCAGACAGCACCTGCATACAAGTTTACTGCAAAAAGTACATGAAAAAATGGAATTACAGTGAGTTCATTTTGGTAAAAAAAAAAAAAAAAAGGAAACCTATGCTTATTTTTATGATATACATTTTCTGTAAATTTTTTGAAGACCTTTCATGCATGTAGTTTCATCTCTCTAATCCTTAGTTTTCTCTTGTATAAATAAAATAGGGAAATAATTATCTACTTCGATGATTATTGTTAAAGCTACATGAGAATCTACATAAAGCATTAGTAAGTATCTGGCCCATAAAAATATCATTAATTCACATGGTTAGCAGTGAAAGTCACAGAATGCCCTGTCACAGGCTTGCCAGGCAACCCAAGTCATGAGGTGCAGTTCTATTTTACATCTGGACAAGCACATGCACACGGTTTTCATTAATACAGCCGAAAAAAATGATAAAGAATATTGTCAATATTTATAGTAACAAGGTGTTCTGGTATCTAAATTTCTTAAAATTCCTCAATTCCTTAGCATTTCTGAAAACGCTTGTAGTTCCTGGCTTTTAAAATGGTAATGACAACTTGAAAGCTACATAAAGACAGTCCTTTCAAGTTTCGTTATGGTATGAGCACTTTTAATTCTGAAGTACCAGGAAGCTACCACAGCACATTTCCCCAGAGGTACAGTAGGAAACTGCACAGTTTTATAGGGAAAAAAAAAAAAAAAGAGTACAGACCAGATAAGAAAGAAGTGTCAAAAGGCATCAACTGAGTTGTTTCCCAGTTTCGCCCAGGTGCTGGCATTCAACCAGTGTCATTTATGTTTACTCAGCACACATTTATCAAGTATCTACTAGATACCAGATATCAGGGTCATCAGGTGGTGTAGTGGTTAAGGCACTGGACTCCCACATGGTCGGCCACAGTCCTGGACCCAGCGGCTTGAAAACTCATGCTGGGTGAGTGTGCGTGTGCCCAAAATCCTGAGAGGAGAATGGAGAAGGGACTGTGGCGTGGCCAACCGCCCCCCCCAGGGGTGGGGGTTATTTCTCATTTTTTCTGTCTCTTCTGTGAGTGCATGTGCCTGATAGCAAAATCTCTGAATAAAAAAATATCTACTAGATATCATGAATCATGCTTCACAATTGATCTGAAAAGTCTCCCTTTAGAGAAACTTTATTTCTGGAATTAAAAGTATTCCAAAACAGAGAAAGGAGTGAAGAAAATTCTATTCCTCTTAAAATGTAAAAAGGGAACATAAGGAGGAAAAACAGAAAAAGTTTATCAGAAATAAATATACCAGTCATCATTTTTTGTTTTATTTTGCATAAATATTTGTCCTTATTCACATAATACGGTCACATAATCATCATAAATATTTGATAGTTTCTGTAAGAATCTTAATTTCAGGTCAGCCAGTGGCATGGTGTTTAAGGTGGCTAGATCCCATATAGTAAGTGTATGGTTTGAGTCCCACACTGAGCAGCTTGAAAAAAACACACTGGGCATATGTGTGGGCTTGCCCCAAGTCCCAAGAGAATGGAAAAGAATGGACTATATGGCATGGCCATTTCCCCGGGGGGAAAGGAAGGGTTCTCATTTTCCCTATCTTTCTTTCTTTCTTTCTCTGGTGAGCATACATGCCATGTAGCAGGTTTAAAAAAAAAAAAAAAATTACACGGGGCCAGTGCATTGCAAGGTAGTTAAGGAGGCTGACTCCCACACAGTCTATCATGTGGTTTGAGTCTTGAACCTGGCTGTTTGAGAAACATGCTGGGTACATGTGTACACACGCCCAAGATCCCAAAAGGAGGAATAAATGGAAAGGCGTGGCCATTTCCCACAAAGGGTGCTTTCCCACTTTTCTTCTTTCTGTCTCTCTCTGGGAAGCTTATGTGCCCTCTGCCAAATAATATATGTATATAAAAAAATGACACAGACAAGACATCATTGGAGAAACCAATTTCTCGAAAAAATAAGCCACAACTCATGTGTAACTGAGGAGAAAACTGCTTACCTGTAGGAAGCAAGCTGTTTCATAAAGCTGTTCTACAGTGCTGTCATTTATTGCCAAGTTACCCGTGTATGCATAAGTTATTATTATTTGTAAGGTGGCAGCATCCACATTCCTCAGGTGTATGTGTGTCTGTTTGCTTTCACTTAGTCCACTCATGAACATGGCCCTACAGTTGAGAGAGGAAAAACGAAGCTTAAGGTTTCACATAAAAATGTAGAGCTAAAAAGAAAAAATAGACAATACAGGATATTTATTCAGGGTATTTATTTATAGGGAATATTCTTAAGGGAGACAACAAAAAAGCATATAGCCTGGTGTCAAAGATACACCAGACTATTCCACTATGCCATCCCAAGTGAAAACATGAAAATTCATTCGCTTCTTATATTTTCACAAGAGAATTCTATTCAGCAATAATAATAAAATCTATGTATTGATACGTAAGATAAAAACATCCCCAAAACCTAATGCTCAATGAAAGAAATCTGATACAAAGACTATGTATTATATGATTGCATTTATATCTTAAAAAAGGCAAGTATATAGAGAAGCAGAAGGCAGGTTCATGATTACCAACAGCAAAAGGTAAGAATGTGTAGTGATATAAATGAGCATAAGGTGATGAAATGCTCTGCATTATATTGTAGAAATAGTTATATACTAAGTACATTTAATTATACATTTAAAATGGTTTAATTTTAGATATCTGAAGCTCATATGGCCAATTGCATGCATGGTTCAAGTCATGACCTGGCAGCTTGAAAAACATATTGGGCATGTTTGTGTGTGCATTTAAAATCCTGAGAGAAAATGGAGAAGTGATTGTAACATGACCATCTGTGAGGTGGTGGTAGTGGGTGATTTCTCAATTTCTCTTTCTCTGTCTGTCTCCTCCTCTGGTGAGTGCACACGTCCCTTAACAAAAAAACTGGGGGGGGCCCCCCCCCCTTAAAAAAAAAAAAAAAAAAAAAAAAAAAAAAGACATGGATCCTGAACTTCAGCTGTGAAATATTGCTTTCAGGGACTTAAAAGGAAGATTTTCTGCTGAAACTTCCCTCTCCACACTCATTTCTGGAAAAGGACAAATCCAGGCCCATTTTCACATGGATCCTGAACTTCAGCGGTGAAATACTGGTTCCATGTGGTGTGCTTATCACGTAGTTTTCAAGTTTTTACTTTTTAAAATTAAAATCTAAAGTTTTAAAAATTATCTTTTTTCTTCTATTTTATATTTTCCTCTTCTCTAATTCTTTATTCATTGGAATCTCAGCTCCTATATACTAAGTGTCTAGACAGGTCCAAATGAACAGGATCTAAACACCTGAATACGATTAAGATCAGAATTTTCCTCTATTCCCACTGATTTTTCTTTTTTTTTTTTTCTTGGAGAGGTTTTTGCTATAGGGCGCATGTGCTGGCCAGACAGACAGAAAGCAAAAAATCACCCCCCAGGGGGGATGTCCATGCCGCAATCCCTTCTCCTCCATTCTTGAGAACTCTTGGGATCTTGGGCACGCACGCACACATGCCCGGCGTGAGTTTTAAGCCACCGGGTCCAGGACTCGAACCGCGGTTGACTACGTGGGAGTCCAGTGACATAGCCATCACGCTAACTGCTGGTCCCTATTCCCACTGATTTTGATCTGCTAAGAGTGAAAATGGAATGGAAGAGAGATTGCAGATCACCTCCTCCTGCACACCTCTGAACACTCAGATTGAACTTCAAGAATTAGGGAGAAGCACCCCATCCATCAGATGACTAGAAATCACCGCAGGGTCACAAGAAATATGGAAAAACAAGAAAATACCTCTCCTCCAAGGAAAAATAATAACTCCTCTTCATCCTCAGACAGTTACAATAAAATTCATGGAACTGTCGGATAAAGAATTTAGAATTTTCATGGTTACAAAGGTCACAGAGATTGAAGAGAAGACAGACAAAGAATTGCCAAACAGGCAGGGGAAAGAAGCTGACAAGCTCCAAGAGGTGAGGAAATTCTTGCAAAATCTAAATTACACACTTTAAAAAATAATCAAATGGACCTTTTAGAGATGAAGGCTATAATACAGGAAGTCAAAACCTCCCTTGAAAGTATTAAAAGCAGATAAGATGATACTGAAAATCAAATCTCGGATGTAGAAGATAGAATCGCTGGTCTAGAAAAAAATCTACCACGAAGACTGAGAAAATGGCCCCCCCCAAATGAGAATAATATACAAAAAATACTAGATACCATCAAATGACCAAACATCCAGGTAATTGGTATCCCAGAAGATGAAGAAACTAATAAGGGCATGGAGAACCTATTCCACAAAGTCTTGGAAGAAAATTTCCCAAGTCTAGAGAGGCACTCAAAGATCCAGACCCAAGTAATACAAAGGACCCTAAATAGAATCAACCCAAGAAGATCTTCTCTAAGACACATTATAGCCAGAATGACCAAAACCAAAGACAAGATACTAAGACTGGCAAGAGAGAAACGCCAAGTTACCTACAATATCCCATCAGGCTGACAGTGGATCTCTCATAGGAAACAATGCGAGTGAGGAAAGAATGGGAAAATATATTCGAAGTGTTAAGGGAAAAGCAATTTTAACCAAGAATACTGTACCTGGCAAGATTATCCTTCACATGGGAAGAAAAGATAAGAACATTCTCAGATAAACAAAACCTGAAAGAATTTACCAGCATAAGACCAGATCTCCAAGAAGTTCTGCAGAGAGTACAATACCAGGAAAATTAAATACAGTCACACACGGAAATAAGAATTCAAAAACTAAGAAAATGGCCAACTTAATCATGGGGACAAGTCTGGAGTTGAATATTATATCCTAGAATATTATCGGGAACATTGTACCGCAACAAAAGATAGGTTAAGTACATGAGACTGAACTGGTGAATAGAATTTTATGATTTTTGACTAAAACATTGCTGATTTTCTTCTAGGCTTTGTTTCCCAGTTTTAAGGATTTTTGTCCTGTCTTGAGCTGCCGACAGGTTCATGAACCTACTATTTGAACAGAATCCCAACCTGTTTCCCGATTTTAAGTTTTAAGCATAGTTCCCTGGCATTTCTTTGATTTATTAAAGTTAAAACTGCTTTTCTTGAAATTAAAAATTATAGTAAAAATACATAATTAATGATTGTAGTAAGGTATATAGCATCAGCCAGGTACTACCTTATAGTATATTCGTTCTACTTAGAATTTCATGCCTAAAGTCAGACACGTAATCATAGATACGTATATATCAGCTGCGCTTGCTACTGAAAGTAGTTAGATTATTTAAGAAATTTTGTGAATCAACAAAATGTGTGGGGAAAAAGGAATGGAAAACAACTGGAAAACTGACATAATCTGGAAGGAGGCTGAGAAATGCCAGAGGGTGGAGAGGGGGAAACTATATAAAACTAGAAATGGGGGAACCAGCAGTTAGCGTAATGGCTATGTCACTGGACTCCCACGTAGTCGACCGTGGTTCGTGTCCCGGACCCGGTGGCTTAAAACTCACGCCTGGCGTGTGTGCGTGCGTGCCCAAGATCCCGAGAGGAGAATGGAGGAGAAGGGATTGCGGCAAGACCATCCCCCCTGGGGGGTGATTTCTCGCTTTCTGTCTCTATGTCTCTCTCTGTCTGTCTGGCGAGCGCACGCGCCCTACAGTGAAAATCTCTCAAAAAAAAAAAAACTAGAAATGGAAAATTATTGACAATAACATGTATGATTAAGCCACTATGCAGTATATTCTGGATGGGAAATCACATTTTGTATGCTTGGACAATGCTCAGTGAATGAATGTAAATTAATTAAAAATAAGTCACCAGCTTGACCATTTTAAGAAGATGAGTGAGGCATTTGAAATGGATAAATGTAATGTAAATTAATTAAAAAAAAACTAAAAAGAAATCCAATTAAGTAATTTCTTTTTATTTTATTTATTTTTTATTTAAATTTATTTGTTTCATTGACTGTACATCATTACAGCATACAAAATGGGATTTTCCATCCAGAGTACACTGTATACTGTCTCAATCAAGCACATTAACATACATGTTATTGTCAACAAATAATTTTCCATTTCTTGTTTCCTGTAT